AAATTTCATACTTTTAGACACAACAACACTCTAATTTAGTTTGAATACAAAACAAAACAATAAAAAGGAAAAAAAAAATTGCATTCAAGTGGATTTATGGTTAGAAAATTTGCTTCCCCAAAAGAGGGATGATGAAAAATCATATTGAAGAAGAATAGGATATAATAAAAAAATTAAAAAAATAAAAGAAAAAAAGGCAGCCAAGAAAGGACAAAATGAGATGGCGTGAAAGGAGAGGAGAGAGAGAGATGGAAGTGTAGAGTTGTAGTCTAAATCAACACATGAATAAAACTTTTTCTTGGCACTTGGTGGGATTGACAAATCGGCACAATAAGACAAACTATGTTCCTAGTTGTTGACCTAACGCACAAAAAGCCAAAACCCCAATGTGGCCCGCACCTCATTATATATATATTATTATACTACTAAAGTATACCATGACATATACCTATATATATATATATATATGTATAGTCATATATAGATATGTATGTGTAATAATGAATACAGAATAGAACGACACCCAAAAAACGAAAAGTGGAGAAAGAGAGAGAATGTGAGTATGACGGCAATTTTGTTTGGTATGCCGTGTGTGTGGCACATGCTTAGCCACCTCCATATGCGACAACTAATGCGTCCAAAACTTCAACCACCGTGCTACTACCTCATTTCTTTCTTCTTCTTCTTTTATTACTATTTTCAACTCTCGATAAATTATATTTTATTTATACAACCACACACACACACACACACACACACATATATAGCTATATATGTTGAGCTATATAGATATCATGATTAATTTATGAAGGGTGTTCGAGAAGGAACCAAACCACTCCAAAAGCATCCGGCAACGCTCTCGAAAAATAATTCAATTACAAGGATAATTCATTTTTCTTAATTTACAAATGATACAAAAATAATAATAATAATAATAATATTGTTATGTCTTTGTTGGTTACTTATTCATTTAACGTTAGTTGTTTGAAGATCCAATATATAATTAAATTTATGAGAATAGTAGTTATTTACTCTACCCTCACCAAGCTCTCGAGTTCATATGGACTAACTATAGTCTTGAATAAAAAAATAATAATAATAATAAAGTGCCACGATTTCTATATGTTTTGTTTAATTTAAAACATTTTGAGTTAAAATTTTAACTGCAATAATTTTTAAAGGTTGCAACTATTGTCAGTATAAAGTTTCAATTCTCAAATTCAAAGCTAACTTCAAGTTTTCAAAACCTTTGTACCATTAAACCACGATGAATTGAAAGGATCACATGTCTAAAATGTTTGAGCAGCTGGTATGGCCAGGCTTGCCATGCACATAAAGGTAGCTACAGTAAGTGGCTAGCGGTATGAAACTGACCACAAATAAAAATATAATTTTTGAAACTTGTCAAAGAAAAAGAGAGGAAGACAAAATTGCACGAGAAAAAAAAACAAAAATTGACCCGTCAACAAAAATTGGACCCGTCATTTGGCTACTCAGACACCATAATTATTTCCCTGGGTAAAATAATGTCTAACATCTGTTGTTTTTACTAATAAAAATTTAAAAATTTAGTTTACAGGGTTATATATATAATCGTTATTAGCTTTACATGGATACACAAAACTGTAGAGACCATGTATATAGTCCAGTTGGATAATTTTTACCTAAGTGGAGCAAAGCATTATTCCAACCGTTTGATGGGTGTAATAAGAAATCCACTTCCATTTCAGAGAAAAATAAATGGTCATGATTGGCTTTAAGTACGAATAACAAAGTGTTCGACAAAGTACGCGACACTTTCTCCTATTGTAAACAATTTTCTTTCCAAATACTGTCTCTCCAACCTTTGATTTTTCCACGCATTGAACCAACGGTGGACACTTCCACTCTGTGGTCCCACCTCCTCATACCACGTCCCCTAACAAAAAATCTAATCTAATCAATCAGTGCACATTCAAAACGTATTGGACACGTGTCTCGCTCCAAGGGCACTTCACGAGTAGGTCCCACGAGGGTCCATCACAGAGCGATCATCGTATCAAACTGGATTTAAGAATAAGACTACAGGGTTGCAGAGTGAAACCCTTTTGGGTGGGACCCAGAGGTGGCGGGGGGGTCTGGTCGTGAGACACGCGTCCCACAGTATTCGTTGAGAAACACACACAGAGCACGACAAAGTCCAAAGGCCCACGCGATGTCCCACAGATAAATCCCCCCTCCAGAGACTGACAAAAAACATGCGGTCACGCGCTCGGCGCTAAAAGACAAAGCACGTGTCGTCGTCCGTGGCAGGGTCGGGGTTTCGTTGGGAGTGTGGGGGTAGTTTGGGGAATTCGGTTGGGGGATTGGCAAAAGAGTCGAGACGGAACCTTTTGTCGCCACGTGCCTTGGCGTCGGCCGCACGCAGGAAAAACTATTGTCCCGTGCTTTCTGCCTTTTTCTCTTTTGAGAAGAAATCTAATGGCATTGGCTATGGACAGATCACTTTTGACTGAATACACAACTTTATTTTATTATTATTATTTATTTTTAAAAATAAATTGCACTCCCACCCCTGAAATTTGGATCAACGTCACTCAGCGAACCGTCAATGCATTAGATTACGTTGATACCCCTAAGGTTTCAAAAATCATCATACACACTCCTGAGGTTTCAAAAGTCATCATATACACCCCTTCTACCTAATAAAATGACCATTTTAATCTTTAACTTAGGCTTCGCTTATTTAGACGTAAAATATTTTTTAAAAAATATTCTTTTATTATCTAGTATTTGGTTATCGTAAAATATTTACGAAGAAAAAAAGTATTAAAATTTAATAAAAATAACTTATTCATCAATTTTCGGTAAGTTATTTTACATGCCCCGTCCAATGAACTAGACATCAATCTCAACATAGACCTTTACCAAATACTGAAAAAGTAAAAATAAAAGAATATTTTACCTGAAAAATAAAAATATTTTTCAAAAAGAATATTTTATGTCGAAACAAACGGAGCCTTAGTCAACAAATGCAAAAAAATTATAAATTACAAATATAACCATGTAAACTAAATTTTGAAGGACCAAAATAATTTTCTCTCTAACCCACCATACCCCCTCTCTCTAACCCACCACACCATATCCTCTCTGTCTCTTTCTTCCCTAACACCACCCCACCACCATACCCTCTTTGTCTCTCTTATCAGAAGCACCACCACCACCGCTCGCCAATTAGAGGCAAAATCCCTCTGCAAAAATGACGAGACTGTACACAACCACCCCCACACACATATATTCTTCGACGACAGTGGTGATCGAGACGTCCTCGATGCGTTAACGCTTTAGATCGAGGAGTGAATCAACGATTCCTTGAGATGGCTCGCCATTGAGGACGTCGGCTGGTGAATCACTCTGCCATCACCACCACCACTGCCTTTCATGCTCGCTTTACGCGTTTGATTTGAGGTCAGATTAAGAAGCTTCCTGATCTGAAGTGTTGTGTGGTGGCGGTGTACGGTGGTTGTGGCGGTGGGGCGTTGTGGGTGTGAATTGTTTGGCAGTGGGTCTATGGTCGCGATAGTGGGTTGGACAGAGCGTGGCGGCGGTGTGTTGTAGTAAAGCGTGGCGGTTTGTGGTTGCAGCAGAGTGTGGCGGTGGTGGGTGTGAGGGTTTACAGGGTCAGGTTCAGGGTCAAGGTTAGGGTATTTTTGTCAATTAATAGGTTCATACGTAAATATGACTTTTGAAACCTCAGGGGTGTCAATGTAAACTAGTGCGTTGACTGTCCGCTAAGTGGCGTTAACCTAAACCTCAGGGAGTGTAAGTGCAATTTACCCTTATTTTTATTATTTTTTACACCAATTCTCTCTGTTTTTTTCTTCTCATTTTTTTTTTCCCAAAACTAATTAAACATTTATCAAGTGATTCATATTAAACTTTGGGCTATGCAAATTTTCTAGTATATAGAAACCGGAAAGAGTTGCGAATTTTATTTTTCCACTAGCGAGATTATAAGCTCTGTAATTGGATTATTTGTGATATTTATTTTTATTTTATATATGACAAATAAATTTGAGTGGAGAACAAAGAGATAAAAAGGGATTAAAGGTGACACAAGTGACAATGGATGGAAATTAAGATGCAAGCAGGGACGGACCCAGCAGGGGACTAGGGGGGGCATCTGCCCCCCCTGAATTTTTAATATTTTCATTTTATACCTTAATGTTTTTAAAATTTATGAAAATGCCCCTCTAAAATTACAATTCGCCCCCACTGGATTCTTTTTTTTTTAGCATTTTATACTTCAAATTTTGATAATTTATGAAGATGCCCCACTATAATTATAATTTGCCCCACTGAATTTTTTTTTTTTTCATTTTATACTTAAATTTTTTAAAAATTTATGAAAAAAAACCCTATTAAAATTACAAAAATGAACCCATCATATAATTTTGTACCCACAAATTAAAAATTCGCCCCCCCTCACCAAATTTTCTGGGTCCGTTACTGGATGCAAGATCTATTAAAGGTGACATAAGTGAGAATGAATTGGGATGAAAATGCTAGATGTGATTGCGAGAAAGGTAAAAACGAATCTTAAGTGAATGAAAAAATTTAAAAAGAAAAAAAAAGGCAAAACGAATCTTATTAAATGAAAATTCTAAAATTTTGATGAAGAAAATGCACATAATTTAGTGAAAGAACAAAATTGGTCAAAATTTTAATACATATTTTACTATTTATGTGAAAGGAGACACACACACACACATATATATATTTACTCAATGGTAGAATAATTCGAAAATATAAGCTCTGTTTTGCTCTAAAAAAATTACCTCAATGCATACTTCATAGCTTGGTGGTAAAAACTAAAAACATATATAAAACGTTAAAAACTAAAAAAAAATGAAGTGATATTGAGTGTGAACACATGGACTTAGCAAAGTAGTAGGTTTGGCATTAGATATACACAATTAAAAAAAAAAAAATTCAAAAAAAAAAAAAAAAAACAGAGGAAAAAAGAAGTAGAAAAAGGGTGGAAAGGTAAAATATAAATAATAGTTTTTTTGGGGTTGATGGAAGAACATATGAGTAATTAGAATTGGATTTTATTACAAATGGTGGGTCCCATCAAACAGTTTATTTCGGCCGCCCGCTTTGTCGTCTCTCTCGCCTCCGTCCACCACCGTCGTTCCTTTGCGTTTGACTCCACGCCTCTCTCTCTTCTCTCTCTTCTCTCTCTCTCCTCTTCTCACCCTCCTCTTATCCTTCATAACACCTCTCTCTCTCTCTCTCTCTTATTTCTGTCTCTCTCTCTAATGTGTTTTGATCCTCTCCTCTTGTGTGTATAAGTCATCTTTTAACCTCCGAAGTGTCTCTTCCTTGTTCAGAACCCAGAACGAGGAATCAGAGACACATAGCGAAAACAGAGCAAAACAGAGCTCACTCTTCGATCCTTTCTTTCGTCTCTTTGAGCGCTATGACTGGTCAAACATCAATCCTTTCGAACATTACTGTTGGGTTTTAAGGTTCCGAAAGATTGAATCTTGGGAGTGGACTGTCATGGCGGGTAGTAATGAAATCAACGTCAACGAATCAAAGGTGTTGCTTTCATCTATCTTTAGCATTTCTCTTTGTTAATTTTTCAAGTTCCTGAACAAATTTGGAAAAAAAATTTCTTTTTGGGTTAATTAAGTGTTTAACTGTTGATTGCTTGATGGGTTTGTTTGATCCTTAATGCTCTTTTCATGGTTTGTATTTTGGGTTCAATTATTGTTCAAGAAAGTTAAAAATTTTCGAAATCAAAGTTTTTTTTGGGGGAAAAAGATTGAACTTTTTGTTTGATTGGAGTGATTTTGAGTTGTTTTTAGCTTTTTTTCTTTCCAATTTCCTTGTTTGTTTACTTGTTTTCTGCTGATTTTGCAGTTTCCTCTGATTAATCCTTACTTTTCTTTTGGGTTTCTCTGTTCCCTCTCAAATTTTAATTAATTTTCTTGCCTACAATATATTTTCTTAAGCTTCATTTTCTGGTTTGTTTTGTTTTTAATCACGGTTACAAGAATGATATGAGAGGCACAAACAAACATACATATATGTGATCAATCTAGTTCCTTTTTTTTTTTTCTTCTCTCTCTTTCTTTTGGAAGGTGATCAAATCTAGCTCTTAATATTTGTTCTTTTAGTGATTTTGCAGTATATGTTCTTTTGTTAATTTTTTTTTTGTTGGATTTTTTATAAATTGATTGATATACAAATTTCTAATCCTTTGAATCTTTGCTTTTGGTGTAGAGGGTGGTTCCACTTAATACATGGATCCTTATATCCAATTTCAAGCTAGCTTATAATATGCTTCGCCGGTCGGATGGAACATTTAACCGAGATTTGGCAGAGTTCCTTGAACGGAAAGTCCCTGCCAACACGAATCCGGTTGACGGTGTTTACTCTTTCGATGTGGTGGATCGAGAAACCGGCCTCCTTAACCGGATTTACCGGTCAGCCCCGGAAAATGAGGCTCAATGGGGCATTGTGGAGCCTGACAAGCCACTGAGCACCACCGAGGTTGTTCCTGTCATTATTTTCTTCCATGGTGGGAGTTTTGCCCACTCCTCTGCCAATAGTGCTATCTATGATACATTTTGTCGCCGCCTTGTGGGCATTTGCAAAGCCGTGGTGGTGTCTGTGAATTACCGGAGATCACCTGAACATCGGTACCCTTGTGCGTATGATGATGGGTGGACTGCTTTGAAATGGGTTCATTCCAGACCGTGGCTGCGGAGTGGGAAGGATTCTAAGGTTCATGTGTACTTGTCCGGCGATAGCTCTGGCGGTAATATTGCTCATCATGTCGCGGTGAGGGCAGCGGAATCAGGAGTTAAGGTACTGGGAAACATACTCCTCCATCCAATGTTTGGGGGGCAAGAAAGAAAAGAATCGGAGGAAAGATTGGATGGAAAGTACTTCGTGACAATTCAAGACCGGGATTGGTATTGGAGAGCCTATCTACCTGAAGGGGAGGATAGAGATCACCCCGCCTGTAACCCTTTCGGCCCCAGGGGTAAAAGCATTGAAGGACTAAATTTTCCAAAAAGTCTTGTTGTTGTTGCTGGTTTGGATCTTGTTCAGGATTGGCAATTGGCTTATGTTGAAGGGCTGAAGAAAGCCAAGCAAGAGGTGAACCTTTTATTTCTAAAGCAGGCGACAATCGGATTCTACTTCTTGCCGAATAACGAGCATTTCTATTGCCTCATGGAGGAGATAAGCAGCTTTGTTAATCCTAACTGTTAATAGATTACTTAACTTCATCTACAGGCAGCCATACATAACAAAAAAAAAATGCTTGACATTTCACTCGGGTACTTTTTTTCCCAGCTTTTGCAGTAATGGTGTGTAGTTATATGATTGTGTAGAATTACATCTTACTGGTGTTGTTATATATGTGGTGGTGATATGAGATTTCTGGACCCTTTGCTACGAAGATAATGCCTCTGTCTTCTTGTTGCTAAAAGGGTTAGTTTCATCGGTTCAGCACAGTTGTAACACATTCATCGGATTTGGAAGAAACGGCAAAATTCAAGTTCATGATGTCGAGCCTTTGAGGGGGGAGGTGATAATTTGGTGGTGCAGGTGTCGCGGTGATCAGCCAGTATGTGGCTGCTATTGTAAGAAGCTAATTTCAGAATTTGGACCAGAAAATTCATGAGCATTCATGATGTTGTGAACTTGTATGTTATACTTGTGCTCTAGAAATATATAAAGATTTTGTTTCTTTTACTTTTCAATCTTGTTTCTCTTCTTTCTGATGGAACAGAACTCTTCTTTGTATTGTTGCTGCTATTGTTGGCACTTAATTCATACTGAACACCTAAGCTTGGACATTGTGGAACACAATTGATACTGCAACTTGTGTGAGAGGACTCAAATTAGGGTTTCCATATTATTGGCACTTAATTCCTAATGAACACCTAAAGCTTGGACATTGTGATTTGTGAAACACAATTGATACTGCAGCTTTTGTGAGAGGACTCAAATTAGGGTTTTGGATCAAATTCTGATTAGTGTCAAACATACAAAATTGTTAAATTTTTTCTCCGTCCATCGGGGGATTGAAATTGGGTACTCAAGACATAGGATAGGAAGGAAAGGCTCGAGATTTATAAGGAAGGAAAGGCTCGAGATTTATACTACGTGTGGCATTATTTTGCATAAAGAGATTGATCCGCTAGTTAAATTCGCATCTACGTGTGGCATTATTTTGCACAAAGAGATTGATCCGGTAGTTAAATTCGTATCTTCAAGCTTGTTGATAAAATTTATTGATTGGTGTTTGTAAATTGAGATTATACGCTGATATGGATAGACTCCGTATTTGGAGAAATGAAAGAAATTGAATAAGTCATCAATCTTGCATGTTCTCTTTTTTGTATCCCATTATGGGATTATATTCCCAAATTTCACACCTTAAAGCAGACAGTAAACTGTTGTTCTAGTTGTTCATCTCAAAATTGGGCTCTAGGTGGTGGACCAACAAATCTCATTGTCCTCTCAAAGACCAAAACCAAAGCCTATCCACCAAAAGTGTGTCATCACAATTTTCACGAAAGAATGATGATTGGACACGAGTCTAAATCATGGACCTGGACGTTGATTTGATTAATTCTTGTCACTTCTTGATTGTGCCTGTTCTTGATGGGGTTGTTTGGATTGTGGGAAAATAGCAAATTGCAGGAATTTTGCTTTGTTTTTGATGGGGGAGAAAGGGAACCCCCATCTAGCATGGCAAGTGGTTAGGAATTTTGGAACTACTCTAGGGGACCACTTTGAGAATCCACACACACACACAACACACACACACCCCCTTTTATTTTAAGCTGTTGGGATTGCTTTTGAAGTGTTTAAAATGCCCACTAAATGTTTAAAAGAACAGCTAAGCTTGGACAATGACATCAAACCCTGTTTTTTGAAATTGACTTTACAGGCCCTTTGCTTAGAATACATGCTTAGTTTTTGCATCTGTCAATCACCGGTACAAATCACTTTGTTTTGTTGGAATTATTTTAATTTTATGTCCCTTGCTTTCTTTGTTCTCTGTTTTCTATTCTCATGTCTTATTATCAAAATGTCCCTATAAATTAGCTGGTTTATGTTTGAATGTGATCCCTAATGCGACAAGATGAGGTCATTGTCACCAAATGGGCCTTTCTTTAATCACCATTATAGACAAAGCTTTGTTAATTTGTTTCTTATCACCTTACTGTTTAGGCATTAATCTATTTTGGTGGGTAGCTCTTGGAGTTTTGTGCTTTCATATTTTGATTCTTTTCACGGGGCGTCTCTAAGACGCTAATATTGGGCACATGAGTAGAAATTCCGACAAATCACTTTGTATAAAAAAATATCAAATATTTTAAAATTTTTTTGAGCAATGAGGATCATATTAGGGAGTCGCTATTATAGATATTTATTATTGTATCATTTTTTAGCCTGGAATAAATTCTAAATTACTTCGTGTAACTTAGAGTTAATTTTTGGACTCATTCGAGTTTTCTTAGCTTGCTCAACTTTGTATCGAAGAATTTCTCAACTTTGACTGATTTTGCGTGATCAATTAGGTTTAACCGGCTCTAATAGTTTAAGAGTCTCAACTTTGACTGATTTTGCATGATCAATTAGGTTTAACCGGCTCTAATGGTTTAAGAGTGATGCTAATTGAATAAATAATAACACCATTTCCAAGCAGCAGTCAGACTTTTCATAGGGTTTCTTGTTAACGTGGAACAAGAAGTTATAGAAAAGAAATTTTCCTAGAAAAAGTTGGAGGGGCAAATTGTTATGATGCAGATTGAAGAACTTGACCATCTTACTAGACATTTTAAAATTCAGATTATGGAATTCATAAGAGAAGGTTAGGTTTGAAGTTCAGTTATAGATTAATTTTGATTGTATAAAAAACCTATAATGGCCCTTACTTGTGTACTCTTCTTTAGTTAGAAGTTTTAAAAAAGTCTGAAGTTGGAATCATCATTATTCTTTCTTTGATCTCATGTGAAAGGAGTTGGCTAGTTTGGAGTACCCTTTTTTTTCTTCTTAGCAAACTAAGAGAATGGGAGACTTGAACGCACACCTACTGAGAAATTGAGCGCTCTACTAATTAGGCCGCTGAATGATGTCTAATTTAGAATGATGTCTAATTTAGAGGTATTATATACAATTTTTTTTTTTTTTTTTTTTTTAAATATTCCACCAAATAATTACCTTTATAAATTTGAGATAGTAATTGTTTTGATGAACTGTTTTATACTGGCATATAATTCATAGTTTCACACCCCTTTGGGTCCACTTTACAGTTGACTTTGTTGAAGCCATATTGCACTCCAAACCCAACCTAAGTTGCTGTTGAAATTTTAATGGTTGTCAAGTTTGATGAATTGGGTACACCTACTTAAATCTCATTGATAATTTTGTATACTTATGTACTTTCTCCGCACGAAATTAAATATTCACTTTTTATTATTTTTAACGATTTTAAAATAAATATTCAATTTGAAAAGTGGCACTATTTTTTTTATAACATTATCAATTTAATCTTCTTGCATTGAATTTATAAAAAGAATCATCACACTTTATGGATTTACTATGGATATATTTGGTAATTAATTCACTACTAATATAATAAAAAATATTAAAATCCATTATTTTTAAAAGAGTAGTACTCATAAGAGATTTTTTCAATGGAAAATGTTATGAGCTATTCATATTTATTCATTAGATAAAACAATTTTTTTAAATATGTGAAAAGTCAAATTAGTTAATTACTAAATTAAAAAATATAATAACTCATAATTTAAGTTACATAAATTTTTTCAACCGATAACGCTTTCACGCTCTTCCTTCTCTCACTATGTAACTTAAATTTTGTTACTTTCACGTTCTCACTCTTATTCTCACTCTACGTAACTTAGGTCATGATTTTTCTTACGAGAAAGATTTTTAAAAACTTAGTTCTTTTTAAAAATGACTTCTAATTCGGGGGAGTAGTATATTGTATGATGATCATAATTGCACATGCATACACATCTTGAAGTGAGACTGCAGTTTTGACTTGATATGTGGCAGAAGTGGTGTGAAGAATCCATGGCAGTATTGAGTGTATGAATACGAAGAAGGGGGGCTGATCCATAATTGAAGGTAAAAGTAAAAGAGTGATATAGATGATGGTCCAAGTCCAACCAACAACCATATAGGACAATTGCTTAGAAGGGAATCAAGTCTAAGCAATAATGATCATTTGATGGTTGTCCTTTACTGCCCCTTTCAAAACAAAAACCAGTGGGCTGCAGAATCTGTGTTACTGTAGGTAAATTTCCCTCCTTTTTCAGTCAGGGACATCAACATCCATTCTTCTTCTTTTCTTTCTCCCATTGTCTTGTCTCTTTAAATCCGTAACTTAATAATTTTATATTGATAAAATAACAGTTACATAAAAATATAAAATCTCAATTTAATTTAATGGTATTGCAACATCATATGATATGTGAATAAATATTCTATCTTTGGTTTAAATATGTTGCAGATATATTATATTTAATTTATGTCTCAATTTACGTGATGTAAGTAAGTTATTTTGAATCCACAAAATACAGTAATTTAAATATGTTTAGAAAAAATCTAATATTATATTAAATAATTGAATTAACAATTCTGCTCTTTACATTTTATATATTTATAATGAAAGAAAACTTAACACGAGAAGGAAATTAACTGCAATCGAATCGGGATATTTAATTCCGAAATGATACTAATATTTGAAAATAAGCCTAAAAATAAAATTTAAAAAACCTAACCAAATAAACTACTAAATATAAAATTTCGTAACATTACGACTTTGTTATGGCCTTGAACAAAAATTTTGAAATAATCCGTAAACTTTCTATAACACAATAAAACTTGATTTTAAAATTCTAAGTAAGATTTTCAGCCGAAAATCAATATGGCCCGCAAACTAAAACTAGTGAAGTCTTTCTCAATGGCCGTTTTCACACAAAAAATACTCTTTCTGAATCGAAAATTAACTTGTCGAATTGACGGAGAAATATATTGAATAACGTATTTTTAACTTACCATACGTCCAAGCTCAACATCTTGCATATTTGGATTCCTGCATTAGGTATATTCTTTTACCATAAGCTAAATAAAATAATCCCAAATTTGGAAATGTTATATTCTTCACCATCCTAATTTTAAAAAGCAATGGAAAACTATATCTAAATTACCAGACACAAAAAATGGCCATGTTCCCAAAGATTTTCTCTCTGAAATTTTCCCACTTGCAGCCAATTTTAACGCATACCAAGCAGAAAATCAGATCAGAATTTGAGTGTGTACTGTTCATGAAATGATCTTTGTGATTTTGGGTTGTCATGATTAGCTAAAAGGGTAGGAATGCAGGAAAAGATGTTAGAAGCAATGTGAAGAGTATGAATATATATATATATATATATATATATATATATAAATGGGACCCAAATTTGAGCTGATGGAGAAATAAAAAGCCATGCGTAGAAGTTACTGGAAATCAAATAAGTGCTAAAATGGCAATGGAACGAATTTCATATTTGGATTAGACTTTCCATGTTTTTTTCTCCTGACATCCCACGTGTTTCTAAAACGTCTCAGATCTGTTCCTTTTCTGTTTTCACATTCTACTCCCATCAGGTAAAATAATACATATACTTAAATATATGTGTGTGTAATTTATTGTTAAGTTATTAAATATGCACAT